CTATTAATAATATCATCTGTATTAAATATTAGAGCAACTTATGATCAAACTGTTTATCCAGAACACAAACCATAACTAATCAATTTCACAATTTAACAATAATTGCTTTCAATGAACTCGAGCCCTTTTAGTGTCTCGTATTACAGTACTACAGTCCCCAAATCACTATTGGTAATATTGGTAATCCGTCTGAGAAAGCAATTAATATTACTCACACCCCATTCATAATCTGCTTCATCAGTCTTAGCACAGCATATCTACTGTCAAAAATCTAGATAACATAAATCGTAGAAAAAATATCAGTGTACAAATCACAGAGACATAAATTATAGCATTGCATTTGCAACCATTAGTTTATAGATATCATAATATTTTACAGCCTCATTACTATCAATATACAGACACCGCCCAGACACATTACAGCCTAATTATTATGATTATGAGTGTATTAATAACATTATTTATAAATAATACTATGCTTCAGAGTATAATTCCTTTTAATCTACGGATATCATGCATTATAAATAACCAACTCCCTACCTCCCTGTTGATAAACCATACTCTTTTATGCAAGTGCAATTTTTCTTCTCTGACAATTTTGTATTAAAGGAACCCTGTAAGCACTATAATAATGTTATCTTATTGATGCTGTTATAGGACCCCTCAGTCCTTGCTTCCAAAATTACATAATTTAATACATCGAAGGATTGGAAACATGGGTTTAAGCCAAGTCTACAAAGTCCTCTGGATAGGAGAGCCAGGACTATTACTTCCCAGCCCTCATACCCGGGCATACCGTGACATCACACATCCACGTGTAACACCGTTCACAGCTTGTCATAGAGAATCATAGCATGCAATGATTTTCTATGGCAAGAATTTCACTGGTGAAACACATTGAGAGTCAACAGGATAATGTTGCTTTATTAGTAGAGGGCAGCAATGACAAGCGCGACTTGACGCTATAAAAAAGGTAAATGACATATTAGATTTTACAATGCACATAGAGTGGGTGGGGGGGGGCTAAAACTAACAGGAAGACTGTAGAATTAATAATACAGGCTTGTATTCTTAATGCAATATTGTCCCTTTAACAGTTTTCTATTTATGCTATCTCTCTATCTCTAGTTGTCTCTTTCATGTCAGTTGTTCCTCTTCCTTTGTCCCCTTCAACTCTCTGCACAACTTTCAGCAACTTTTCTCACTCTGTCCTCATCCATTTGTATCTGCCCACCTCTGTTTCTATCTAATATCAGTTGCAAATTCATTGACACAATCCCAACTTAAAGCCTCTGTACCGCAAAAAGCAAGAATCCCATGGCATTTTAACCTACACATGTGTGCTTCTGTAGCACTCTGTTAATGGGCAGACCTGTTTGGCTGGTGTCCTTGCTGGGCAACCTGTCAAACTGGTGTACATGCAAGAAGAGATAACACAGTCCCATCATACTTGGGCAGTTAACCAATGATGAGAAATGAATCACTGACTCTCTACCACATAGTCTCACCTTTACTAAATTTGACAAGTATATACATGTCCAAACTTGTCATGCCCCATTGTGGGTTACAGAGTTGGCTGATCTGGTGTCCCCTTCAAATCTGTTACCATACTTCTTGTTCATCAAAACAGTTGGGCCAAACCTTTCTTACATTTTCACAGTGACACCAAGGAGAGCCTTTCAATTCACAGTTTTGAAGAGTTAATCAAAGTTCTCAAATGATCACCATACAATCAATTGACAAATACAGCAGTAAATGTAATCGATTTGAGAACAATAGCCTAAGTTTCATAAGCAAAAGACTAGACTGGAACAAATTAACTAGATCCTGAATAGATGCTTTCCATAAAGATCAATGCAAAGCATCAATATAGAATGCTGGCTATTCATATATGAATATTAAAACATAGGTGCTAAAGATTAAAGCATCACTATAGGGTCAGGAACACAAACATGTATTCCCTACCCTATATTGTTAACACACCCCACCTAGCCCCCCTGGGCCCCTCATGCCTCCATACATATAGCAAAATCTTACTGTATTCAAGCCTGAAGCTGTAACTCTGCATGCTGTTAGACTCAGAAAAACAAGCAGTCTGCTGACCTCATTAGAAGTGGTGGCCTGATCCAATCACAGTGCTTCCCCATAGGATTGGCTGAGACTGACAAAGAAGCAGATCATGGGCAGAGCCAGCATGATTCAAACACAGCCCTGGCCAATCAGCATCTCCTCATAGAGATGAATTGAATCAATGAATCTCTATGAGGAAAGTTCAGTGTCTGCATGCAGAAGGAGGAGACACTGAATGTTTGGATGCATTTTAGGCAGCCATGACCCAGGAAGTATCTCTAATAGCTATCTAAAGAGTGGCCAGTGAAGTTATCACTATGCTGTAATGTAAACACTGCATTTTCTCTGAAAAGACAGTGTTTACAGCAAAAAGCCTGAAGGTGATGATTCTACTCACCAGAACAAATTCAATAAGCTGTAGTTGTTCTGGTGACTATAGTGTCATTTTCAGTCATATTTCAAAATCTGGTAAACACATAGGCACATATGGGTGTGTATGTCTATGCAGTTTTTGTATTTTAATTTCATAATTTAGCAAAATGACATATTTCTGGTTTTACAGATTAAGAGGCTCCAGGCTTCCTTATTCCAATTTAACAACATTCAATGCTAAAGGGCAGATCAGTAATTAATTGCTCTGCAACGCACACTAATCGTGCATTGGAGACACAAATATGGGAGGCATGCCAATCTATTAAAGCTTTCACAGACACAGAAAAATTAAATCTGCACACATGTAGATATGAACCCAGCTAATAAATATATTGGGTAGATGTTAATAAATATATTGTGTAGATGTTAACAGAGAAATCTATTATTTTTTCACAGATATGGGAAATATGTATATGAAATAAGGCATGATCTTTTAGCTTCATGAAAGACTACTTTGCGTCATCTACAGTGGCATACTTGAAATTAAACAGAAGAAAAAATGAACAAAAATAGGTTCATCTGAACTATTGGTTAAATTTTTTTTCTTGTTTGTTTTCTGTTTGCCCAAATTTTGTTAAAACATTTTGCTTTGTTAATGAAATTCAGATCCTCAATACTATTAACATCTTAAGTGATGCACTCATGCTACACTTTCTGGGGACAGTTCCCTGGTGTCTCCAAAAGTGGGACACCAGGACACAAAGCCGGGAAGGCACTGTATAACCAGAAAAGACTGCATGCTTCACAGCCAGGTATTCAATGCAAATGTTATGCTACGTAATTAATAGAGGGCTGAGGTTAGCAATTATACATTCATCATTGCAAATTTTAGCCCAAACCGCCAACTCGTGGTGTCAACGTCAACCATATAAACATTTCATCATGCAAGTAAAAAGTAATAAATAACATTCTATTGAGTAATGCTTGGGTTCAAACATTCCCTATGGAGCTTTTTTTTGTCTATAATCAGTCTACTGAGTAGGTCCTAAAGGAGCGTGGTACCCGTATGGGTTGTGAAATCAATTTACAGCAGCACTTTAGCTTTTATCATATTAACGGGAGTAAACTTTTGACCCATCTTGTAATATAACTAACTATGACAGTTCATTCAAGTGTTCTAAAGAAAACCAGGGAAGTCTAGTCATTATGTGATATATCGTAAGCAACATTAAATGCACATTAACTGACTGCAAGCTTTCATTGTATAATAAATCTGAATATTGGACTGCATTGTCACCTTATGCAAATAAAACAAATTCCTTACTCTATTTGCAAGCAGATATTGCTCTATAGCAGTGATGGCGAACCTTTTTGAGCCCGAGTGCCCAAACCACAATACATGCCAACTTTTGTTTCCTCAAAGTGCCAACACGGCAATTAAACCTGAATACTGATGTTTAAATTTAGAAAAAAACAACTCGTACAGTTGTCCAAACTAATTAACAACTTTTGTTTTAAAAGACGAACACAACAGAGAGTTCAATGATACAAATTTTAAATAAGGATATAAATATATCAATTTAAGCTTATATTTATTAGTATCTCCAACAAATGCAATACATACACACACAGACTGCCGAATACACATACAGACAGACTGCTAAATACACATACAGACAGACTGCTGAATACACATACAGACAGACTGCTGAGTACACACACACAGACTGCTGAGTACACACACACACACACAGACTGCTGAGTACACACACACACAGACTGCTGAATACACATACACAGACTGCTGAACACACAAACACAGACTGCTGAACACATACACACACACAGACTGCTGAACACACACACACACACAGACTGCTGTATACACACACACACACACACACACAGACTGCTGAATACACACACACAGACTGCTGAATACACACACACACATACACAGACTGCTGAATACACACACAGACAGACTTCTGAATACACACACACATACTGCATTGAGGGATGCAGTGTATGTGTGTGTGTGTGTGTGTGTGTGTGTGTGTGTGTGTGTGTGAGGGGTGCTGTGTGTGTGTGAGGGGTGCTGTGTTGGGGTGTGTGTGTGAGGGGTGCTGTGTGTGTGGGAGGGGTGCTCTGGGGGGGGTGCTGTGTGTGTTGGGGTAGGGGTGCTGTGTGTGTGTGGGAGGGGTGCTTTATGTGGGTAGGGGGTACTCTGTGGGGCAGAGGAGCTAGTGTGTGGGGGTAGGGGTGCTGTGTGTGTGTTGGGGGTAGGGGTGCTGTGTGTGTGTGGGAGGGGTGCTCTGCGTGAGTAGAGGTACTCTGTGGGGGGGTAGGGGTGCTGTGTGTGTTGGGGGTAAGGGTGCTGTGTGTGGAAGAGGGTTGGGATGCTGTGTGGGGGAAGGGGGTGGTTAAAAAAAAAGTTATGCTAAATCTGTATCCCCCCTCCCTCTTGCTTACCTTTAATGAAGGAGGGGGGGGGGCAGCCATCCCTGGTGGTCCGGTGGTGGTAAGTACTGCTTCTGGGTCGGGAGGCAGTGGGAGGGATCTGTGAAGCAGCTCCCCTGTCCTCCCTCGCGATGATGTGTGGATGCTCCACACAGCTTGCTCGCGGGAGGACAGGGGAGCTGCTTCACAGAACCCTCCCCCTGCCTCCCGACCCGGAAGCAGAGTAGGCGCCTGCCGTTTTGGGCAGGCAGGTGCCTACTCTGCATTGATGGCGAACCTATGGCCGCGTGCCCACAGAAAGGGCCCGGCGTGCCACATTTGGCACGCGTGCCATAGGTTCGCCATCATTGCTCTATAGCAACAATATTACATGTAATGAATCATTATGTAATTGTAATGTTAATCTATAATATTTTGTAAAGATCTAGAGAAACAAAAATTATAACAAATATAGTTTGACAGGTGTTGCTTGTTTATTTGAACTTAAAAAAATAAATAAAAGCTAAAGAAATTATGCTGGAAGGGTTTAATAGGACTGAATGAAAATATGTTTTATTATATGATATATTTTTTAAAGCAGCACTGTCATGCCGAACTTACCTTTCCTCAATCTCTTCCTCTTCTCCCCCTCTCTCAGGATCTGTTCTTCTTTTCTTCCTGTCTTCTTTAGTTTTCTTTAAAATCATAAGACAAAGTAGGGACTCTTTGCCATATGGAGGTTTCCTCCGCTTGACCAGCTTTGACCAGCAGAGGAGCAAAGTGTGCTTCATTTCCGCTGGTCAGAGCAATTTTCCCATGATCCTTAGCTTTCTTCTGTGATCTCGCGATGCTTCCTGTCATTTTAGACGAAACTGCCGAATTGCGTTCTAACTGAATGAGAACAGTATGTTCGTTTGTTTTAGAATTCAATTCGGCACTTTGTTCATATCGGAATTTCATTCAAATGAATGAAACTCTGATTCAATTTGTGCCGCGGCTACATCTTAGGGAGTTATCTTCCAAAAGGCTGAAAGACCTGTCTTTCAGCCAACTTTACTAATACTAAGTAAAGATTATTTAGTATTAGTAAATAATATGCCCCTACTCACTATAACGCGAGTAGGGGCATGTCAAGTAAACAGTGAGCAGCCACAGCAGCCTGTGGCTGCTCACTGTTAAAAAATAAAATAAAAATACACAATTGTCCCCCCAGCCCCCACCTGTGCCGAGTCCTCCCCCCCTTGGACCCCACCCCTGAGCGGCAGCAATAAGAGGGGGGGCTATTGACTCCCCCCCTGGCCCCCACCCCTGAGCAGCCGGTGGGGGCCCTTAACAGTAAGAGGGGGGAGACCTACTGCTTCCCCCCTTGGCCCCCACCCCTGAGCGGCGGGTGGGGGCCCTTAAAAGTAAGATGGGGGAGACCTATTGCCTCCCCCCTTGGCCCCCACCCCTGAGCGGTGGGTGGGGGCCCTTAACAATAAGAGGAGGGAGACCTATTGCCTCCCCCACTGGCCCCCACCCCTGAGCGGCAGGTGGAGGCCTTTAAAAACAATAAGAGGGGGAACCTATTGTTCCCCCCGGCCCCACCCCTGAGCGTCAGGTGGGGGCCATAAACAACAATAAGAGGTGGGAACCTAACCACCCCTGAGCGGCAGGTGGGGGCCATTAGCAACAATAAGAGGGGGGAACCTATTGTTACCCCCCCCGGCACCCACCCCTGAGCGGCAGGTGGGGGCCATTAACAACAATAAGAGGGGGGGGGGGAACCTATTTCTGACAAATGAATGAATAGATGAAATTCCTGTTCGCATGCCCAAGTATTTAACTGGGCATGTGTGGGAATCTCACAGTGTTATCTAGTGTGGGCAGATGACGTGTCCCACAGGGACTTCCTCTACCCACACAAAGATGGCGGCGCACTGAATATAGGTCGGGGCAGAAAATAAAGATTAAAAACTAGGTAATATGGGGGGCTTAGGGGCATTTCGGGGTGACTAAGGGGTCAATTAGATGTAGTGTAAATGGAGTCGGAAGGGGGGGTTAAAAAAAAAAAAACGGGATTCAGCCATGACAGTGCAGCTTTAAGTAGGCAGATGCAATTAAAGTTAAACCAGCATACAATAGTATACAATGATCAAGGTCTGTGCCATCTTGTTTTAATTTTCTACAAACAAAGGAAAGGAGTAGAACAATGTAAAGGAAGGAGAGAGAGAAAGAGGAGGGGATGGGGTGAAAGAGACCTTGAAGGACTGCTCAAGTCACATGCAGGGAGGTGTGGCTAGGGCTGTGTAAACAAAGTTATTTAACTCTTAAATGGCAGAGAATTGAGCAGTGCGACTACATGGGCATGATTGATACGGCAAAACTACTTCATTAAGCTAACATCGTATTGGTGATTATAGTGTCCCTTTAAGTCCAAAACTTCAAGCATCACTGGGCAAATGGACTATAATATGTCAAGCATTGCTATGCTATTGGCTATCAATATATTGGCCCTAGATCTCTTGATTTGTACCTCAGGCTTTGTCTGTTAGTTCATCCATTTTGTCAGTGTCTCTCATTTTACAGAGAACTGTGGAGGTGTCAACCACACATCTGCACTAGCTCAATGATCTGCTAATGTGATCAATTTGATCAATCTGTTCTCGTAGGATGTGAAGAGCCTACAGGCTTAGAAAGGAGGAACAGTCAAGGGGACAGGTCCATGAACTTGGAAAGAATTTCTGACAAAATTGTCTGATTGGAGATCCAAAACCTAGGTTTTTTTGGGGTAATTCTACCATATTTTAAAAATATCCCCTATCTCCACATCACCTGCAGTAAACCATACATGATAACTCCAATGGAGTCAAGTACCACTTCACAAGTGTTTTAAAATCTTTTTCTAGTAGTATAACAGAAACATTGGTTTCCTCTCATATATCAATCCAGTCATCTCCATCCAAGGATTGCTACTTCCTTCTTAAAAACCACAAAAAGTAATTATGCCTTTGGCAGCTATAATGGGAATTTAGCTACTCTATGTGATCATACATTGCATAAGCCTGCCACAAAAAGCTAATGTAGCCTATTCTTGATCAGGCCCATTTTCAGGTCCTATTTTAACAATCTAATGTCTGTTCTTATGAGATTAACCTAAATACGTGGATCATCCATCTTCCCTGGCCTCTCTGCTTTGCAAGACTAAATAGGGCCTTGGAATGACTTACCTATGAGAAGGAGGGGTACCCGCTAACTTCTAACAAACGGAAGGCATGCCCATGAGCTGTCAACAACTTTGAGGGATATTGTGAACTGAGATATATATGATCAACGTTTCAGTCCTACATCTAGGACTTTCATCAGGATCAATATAAACATACATTAGAAAAGCGATCGATTTTCTAATGTATGTTTGTATTGATCCTGATGAAAGTCCTAGATGTAGGACTGAAACACTGATCGTGATTTTAAAGTTTTGAAATAAAGATTGGATCTTTTAACCCCGTGAGTGCTGCTACCTCTTTGGATAAATGGATACTAAAGCCCTGGCTATCTAGCACCTGGCAACCAAGGGACATTTAAGCGTGAGTGCAAGAGATTTTTTTCATTTTTTGTTTATAAATATATATATATATATATATATATATATATATATTATGTCTTTTTTTAAAGGGTTACTTCAACCATCATGACCAAATCTGCTTTTTAAAGTGGTCATGGTGGTAGTAGCCTGAATGTGCAGTGTTTCAGCTTAAAACACAGCACATCCAGAGTAATTGGCACTTTTGTACAATGGATTAGTTGTACCCCTGGCAGAAAATTCTGGGCTGCCTAATGTAAATTCTGTGCATTCTGTGCATAAAAAAACATATGTCATCAGCGTGCACTGTGGTCAGATTCTCCCCTTTCAGGCAGAGTAAATTTTCCCTTGAAAGCGCTCTGCCTTTCTTCCTCCCTCCTTACAGTGCCTTCCAGACCTCCCCATCTCCCTCCATTGTAAAGAGGTTTGTTTAGATGTTTTTTATTTTTTAATAGAAGTCCAGGCATGCCCGTCAATCCACTCACTGGCTCCAAGCGCATGCACGTGCTCTGAGCTGGTGAGAATGGTCCAATCAAAGGTTTCTGTTTGAGAAGTATTTAAAAAGCATATGAAAGGGAGCATGTAGCTTCAGAATGGGGCATGGGGAGGAACTCCAGGAGCTTCATCCAGCACTGTTGGGGATACCTATTGAGCAATGCTCATTAGGGCATTTTACACTAAATTAAAACAACACTTAAAAAAGGGTTGAAGTAACCCTTTAAATATTTCTCTATTTTAAATCAGCCTTAAAATACAACAAATAAGTTCTTACATTTCATTAGAAATCACCATTGTTCTTCATTGACAATACATACAAAAAATATCTCTTGGTTAGAGTAATAAAAAATAATAAATAGTTTCAACATTTCCATCCACTTAAATGGGCAGGATGACACAGGATTGTATTTTGCTTGCCTGCTGCATCTCATTAGTTTGAAAGCATTAGCGTTGTAACTTGTATCTCAAGAGAGAACAGTTCACTTGCAATTTAAATGCCATGGAGCCAGAAATGACTTGCAGCTTACACGAAGCAAAGTGTTACTTTTCTTATGACATTTGGTGCAACCGAACTGCCTCCAGGGCAATAGAACAATGGTAAGCTTTGTAAAATATTACATCTTAAACTCAGGGTGTTAATTTATTTATAGAAATTACAAAAAGGGTTTTAGAATGACAAATTACACATGTCTACAACAGTGGCACAGAGTCATTATGCTTTTGTAAGTTTGTTAAAATGAGTGGTCATATTAAAACATACGGTTACTTAAAGTAATGCAAAGACATGCTGCCTCAAAGGTAAACATGAGTTTCATTCACATGTTATTGTTAATTACAATGTCAATGTTAATAGAAAGAAATTATAGAACTTATCACTAAAGTTTAAGCTCAACAAGCATTAAAGAAACACTACAGACACACAAAGCACATAGGTATTTTGCTATATTTGTGACAGTTTATAAAAAAGCTGATTTCAATACTTCAAAACTTTGCAAAAAAACCCTAACCAGCTGTCAGAGAGCAGAAGGGGGTTTCTTTCCCTTCCATTAGAGACACATTTGACTACACCCCCTGTCTACACCTGACCTGTACAATACAGCTCATTGAGAAGCATAGGAAAGTAACAATTGTGTATTCTTGTCGCTCCAGGAAA